TTGGCTTTTAAATGTGCCCAGCATAGGGGCCCCACGAATCTCCGGTGGGAGGTTATTCCAGAGGTGAGGAGCCACTGCCGAGAAGGCCCTGTTTCGTGTCTTTTCTCTTCGGGCCTCCCTCGGCGTCAGGCTCCTCAACCTCACCTCCCAGCTCGCGTGGGTGATCCAGGTAGATCTTCGTGGGAGCAGGCGTTCCGCCAAGTATCGAGGTCCTAAACAGTTTAGGGCCTTATTAGTGAGCATTAAAACTTTGAAGTCAATGCAGAAACGGATGGGCAGCCAGTGCAGCATGGCCAGAGTAGAAGAAATATGCTGTTTTTTGATGGCTCAATATCAGATCCCTTTGACATCCGAAGCGGAGTGAAACAGGGCTGTGTCCTTGCACCGACCCTGTTTGGGATCTTTTTTGCTATTATGCTGGAACTGCAACAGAAGGTTTTTATCTCTGGACTAGATCAGATGGAAAGCTCTTTAATCTCTCTAGATTGAGAACGAAGACTGAAGTCCAACTGAAATGTACGCGGGACTTCCTCTTCGCTGATGATGCAACCATTGTTGCCCACTCTGCAGATGATCTCCAACAACTCATGAATCGTTTTAGCAAGGCCTGCCAAGACTTTGGACTGACAATCAGCCTGAAGAAAACACAAGTCGTGAGCCAGGACGTGGACTCACCTCCCTCTATTACCATCTCCACGCAAGAATTGGAGGTTGTTCATGACTTTGTGTACCTTGGCTCAACGATCTCTGACACTCTCTCCCTAGATGTTGAGCTGGATAGACACATTGGCAAAGCAGCTACCATGTTCTCTACACTCAAAAAGAGAGTATGGCTCAATAAGAAGCTGGCGACATATACAAGATCCAGGTCTGTAGAGCCTGTGTCCTGAGCATACTCCTGTACTGCAGTGAACCCTGGACACTTTGTGCACAGCAGGAGAGAAAGCTGAACACGTTCCATATGCGTTGTCTCCGACACATGTTTGGTATCACCTGGGAGGAGTTCCAAATAGAGTAGTCCTAAAATGAGCTGGAATTTTTAGGATGTATACATTACTGAAATAGCAACGTCTACGTTGGCTTGGGCATGTCATGAGAATGGCTGATGGTTGGATTCCAAAAGATCTCCTGTATGGAGAAATTGCCCCAGAGGGAGACCACAGCTGCCATACAAGGATATCTGCAAGCGGGATTTGAAGACCTTAGGACTGGACCTCAACAGATGGGAAATTTTGACATCTGAGCATTCAGCCTGGAGGCAGGC